CCATAAATTGTTTTGTTTTTTCCATTTATGGTTCTATAGTCTCCCATAGGTCGAAACTCAGAAAAGCACGAAGAGAGATTAGGTCTTCATTTGAAAGTTTCGTTGGGTTTGATCTACCATTACCCTTTGTGTATTTTGTTCAAATTAAGGTTAGATGATTGTAAAATTTCATGGGTTTTACCTTGGTTAACTAAAAATCCAGTCTTGGATGATTTTGGGAAATGGAAGTTTTTATTTTGATTAGTCTTGTCAAAATCATCAATACAGGTTTCCTTGCTTGGATGTAAAAAGAGTGGACATTTTGCTTATGTTGACCACAAAGATTCACCTTTCATCTGTTCATGTCTTCTAACATAACATTACAGAATGAATTTATCTGTTTTCATTATTTTTCAGTGATGGGATTGAATTACAAGAAAGAATGAATACGTGAATCGATCAGTAACTGGAGAGATGAATCTGTGACCATTGGGAAATGTGTTCTAAGTAAACGGAAAATTCGATTGAGAAGAGGTTTATAATCTGATGAGTATGAGTGGTCACAGAAACAAAGGACATCTAAATTCCAAATCTGGGAAGGAAATCTTTCTAACATCATCATCTCTGTCTTTCTCTTCACTGTCTTCCTCTGGTGCCTCATGGGACGATGCAGTAGAGCGACATACAAAAGAATCTACAACATCTTGCGAGGAACCAAAGGAAGTGCTTTCAAAAGCTTCTTCTCAAGGCTCTGAAATGCAGGGTACGGCTAATAATGTCAGTACGCAGCCTGGTCCATCTCCGCCTTTGAGGTTACGGCCAGTTCAGTTGAGGAACAATGGTTACGATCCTAACAGAATCCCAGCATCGGTGTTTGGCAAGAATAAGGAAGTGAACTGGAGCGAAGTTTCAAATGATTCTTTGTTTAGCCTGAAAATGGATGGTTATAGAATGTCACATAGTCAAGGATATCGTCAAAGCAATTTAAAACCTGAAGAAGCTTTGAAATCTGGTGAGTTCTTAGCATACTCACCGTTTATATCAATCAAGCTTGAGGAAGCAGAAGAGAAGATATCTGAAGTCGAAGAGACCAAGATTGAAGAAACAGGAGGAGTAACATCATCGGTCGAGACTCGGAAACGTCAAGAAAAGCCCTCCTCCTCAGCTCCTCCAATTATCTTATGGACTGCTACTCCCAGCGATTATTGTACATGGGATCAAGCACGCCCTGAAAAGAGAAAGAAGCCAAAAAAGAGT